TGATTCGGGCACCCATATTTACTTACTGAGATATTTTATCTCACGATTTCCTTGTCCACCATTTCAAGTAGTGAGACCCGACACGTGGGAAGCCCAGGGGAGTGACGAGCTAGACGGCTAGGCACTTTTGGACTTAGGTTTTTATAGCTAAACCGTTAGTCACCCATGCTTGACATAGAAAATTTTGTGTACAGCATTTAGTGCTAGTCATGACTGTATATATGAAATGATAAATCTTGTTCATCTGACTGGTAAATATTTGGTAATTAAAAAGGCTTAGATCTGAATTACCTGAATTGCTAGGTATGAACTTAGTAAGTTCTGAGCCTTGTACATTTGTGGGACCTCCTCACAAGTGCACGGCGTCTACCACGTCCCCGGATTTGGGTTCTGGGGCGTGACAACTTATGTAACAGAATTGAATGTTCATATTAAACTTAGTGCGAAGCAGGAAAATAATTTCACATTAAAAATAAAAAAATAAAAAATGTATATATGAGGGTCACTTCACTTATTCTTAATTAATTTTAACTTGAATTCACATTTTTATTGAAATTGACATATACATAATGTTCACTATAAGTAAGTTGTTTTTCTTAATCTATTTTATTTTGTACTTTTCATATGAATTGGACCCAAATACTGCACGTGGAGAAGGTCGAAAGTTGGCTGTCTGCTCCCCCATGAAATTCGGACGCTTTATTTTTCTCATTAGAGCTAATAGCCGCAGGGATATATTATTTTAATTGCCTCCTTGGATGTTTTGAGATTTTATTTTAAGGATATTTTTTATATACTTTAGGATACATTTTTATCATAAATATATATAATAAAAGTTAATATTTATCTTGCACCTGATCCTTCGGATTAACTGGCAACCTGCCAGTTTGAGATGCATTCCCTCTCCCCATGATGGGTTTTGAGCCCGCCCTTGACAACTTGTTCAAAAAAAAAAGAGAGTTAATATTTATCTTAATATTATGATTAAATAGGTAAATTTAATTAGACAAGTAATAAATTAAAATTTTATTTTTATTTTTTAATTTAAATTATTAATAAAAAATATATTTTATATACTCTTAATATATATCTTAAAAACAAAAATTAAAAAAATACTTATTTTAGTGCAAAAAATAATTTTTATGATCAATTATTGGGGCGGCTAATTCATGAAGAACATTAGATTTTAGATCAAATCAAATTATTGGTAGGATTATCCTATGAATACAAACGGGGGATGCTGTTGGTAACATGAGCTAAGCATTTTGTAATTTGTAATTTGCAATTTGCAATTTGCAGCTTGCACGCAGTTGGATGTGTAATCTAGGATGACTACTGAGGATAATGCTTAAACTTGCTAAAGAAATTTTCCAAGCCCTCATTGTTAAGAAAGTTGTGACAATTAATCGGAGCAGTATATGAATTTGATTCACTTTTATGGGAAAACAAATCATATTAGAAATGCATATAAGTGAATTTTTTTTTTAGTGGTTAGGAAGTCCTCAAACTAGCTTATACATATCTTGAAATTAATTCCACTATAATCCAATCAAAGGTAGGTTATTTATGGGGGGCTCAAGATCTCATAAGAAATTACCTTTTCGTTATTTTCTTACGAAATCAAACCTTAATTAATAAGAAAATTAAAATTGCACACTAAATTGTTAATAAACTAAATAGTGGATTAGTGATAATAATTAATTGACATAGCTACGGAACAATATTTATAGGAATTTTTTTAATATGTGCCTTTAAAGCATAGATTAAGAGCACATTAATTCTATTTTTTTGCAATAAATTTTTCAAAAAAAATATAAAATAAGTATTATTTTTAATATCAATATTACATGAATAATTTTAATTTCATAGTTGATAAATTTAAAATTAACTTTTATTTTTCTATATAAATTAATTATAAAAAAAATGTAATTATTATATTCTTAACATATGTTTTTAGGACACAAGTTAAAAAAAACCATATCTATTATTATGGCTTGGTGACAATATTCATCACCTAGTTGAACTAAGAAAAATAAAATTACAATTGATCGAGGTTGCTACTTTGTTACTAGATATGGCAAACTAGTTGATCGGCCTAGATTAGTAAAAGTTTAGATTTAGAATCAGATCAATGAGTTAAGGATCAAGATTGGTCGAGAACGCATCCTCTAATTAGTTGGTCTTGAATAGGGGAAGGATTGTAAGTACCCATGATCAAGCTTAGCAAGAAATAGAAATATTAAAGAAAAAGGCTAACATAATTGCTTGCAAAAAGAACTCACACTTTGCCTTACACTTTATTGATTGAGGGTTTTTTCCCCACATCTCACAAAGTAGAGATATTTAGTTTTTTAGTTTTCAATTTGAGTAACTGAGATAAAATTTAACATCTTATGTTCATATGTAGCACATGACTGTTAGGCCTTCTTTACCAATACACATGTTAGTGCCACAAAACTAAGGTACTCTTTTTATACATTAGCACTATTGGATTGATCAATAAAAACTCATGTTGTGTCTCTCACCTTCCTTTGAGGGTTTTTGCCCCTTTGCTTATAATGCATAGAATTGTATCGTTCAACTTGTTGACTTAAGTAATTGAGGCAAAGTTTAATAGCCAATGGTCATGTGTAACATATAGGCATTAAAACTCCATCACAAAACAACATGTCAATGCTAGATGGGATCATTTTTACACATTGGCAATGCCAACTTGGATTCATTCATCCACTTTCAACATGGGTCCACTACATTCTCATTTAAAAGAAAGACAAGAAAAAAGAAAAAAGAAAAAAAGAAATTGAAACTTTAATTCATCTTCCTTCAATCATGAAACTACCTTCTTCCTCCATCATCTTTCAAACTTTCCGCTTTGAACTTTTTCTCTGAATTGAACAAATTGATGGAGTACATTGGAGAATGGAGGTTGGAAGTGAGGATGACTAGAATAGGGGGAGAAAAGAGAAATTAATATATTTAATTGAAGCTAATTAATATAAATAATTTATTATTTAATGATAAAGTTTATTAACTCTAACTTTTAATAACATTTTTAAATAATATAATTTATTTAAATATAATTGATCCCACTATATCTTATTATTTTTTTAATTTGAGTATGCAATGGGCTTGCACTAAACAGATAAGTGGGTCTAATTGGCATCACCAATGTACAAATGACCTTATTTGTTGTTGATGTGTCATTGTGCAATGGAGCACTAATGCCTACATATTGCACATAACCAATAGGCCTTAAATTTTACCTATTTTATTCAAATTGATAAATTGGAGGGTAAAAATCCATACATTGTAAGCCAAGAGGCAAAAACCCTCAAGGTTGATAAGATGTGGAGTAAAACATAAGGTTTGGTTGGCTAAGCTAGTAGTGCCTATGTGTAAAATGGATGCCCAAGTGGCATTGGCATGTGCATTGATAATGAAAAACTAATATCATGCATTGCAAGTGACCATGAGATGCTAAATTTTGCTTCATTTACTCAAATTGAAAGGTATAATGACAACTATCTTAATTTTAAAAGGTGAGGGTAAAAAACTCTCAAAATCAGTAAGATAAAAGTCAAAGCATGAATTGTCATTGCTTGCAAGCCAACCTTAAACAAAGGTTGGCCAAACAATTGTAATGGCCAACCTTTGTTAAGGTTGTCAATGGCATTGGGAAGACTTAACTAAGTCTGGCGCCAATAAGGCAATAATTTTGAATGTGGGGAAAATTATGAGACAGTTATATAAAAAATTTAATATTAAAATTATTCAAATGTTAATTTTACCCTTCATTATGTAGTTACATGAATAAACATTTTAGTTCAAAGAAAATTTTTAGAACTTCGTAAATAAAAGACCCCTAATCTCATCTTTTCTTTATTCAAGTCTCAATTATTTGTAGTAATTATATAGGAGTTTAGAGGCAAGAGAGATCAAGATTATTTTTCTTAATATTGATAGTTTTGATAAGTTGTCACTCCCCAAGACTAAGTGCTTGCAAATGTTATACACCTGATAAGAATGAAGCTCGAACAAGATTACAATATGGGTCAAAAAAATTTTTTTTGATAAATATAATATAAATTATAACATATATAATATAAGAGATAACCCAATATAAAAGATCACCAAGGTAGAACTAAGACATCAACTATGATAAGAATTATTAGTTATACCATAAAGATGTCAATGATCAAGACATCTAATTGTATTTTGTTACAGAAATTGAAAACAAACTAGTGAAGCAGAACTCCAAAGATAAAAGTTTAAAAGCAAACAATCAATTCATCAACTAAATATGGGGCCTTTTAAAAAAAAAAAAAAATTTCTAACTAGATTTTAAGCCTGTGCGTTAAATGTGTATTTTTTCATACATTTTATGCAATTTCAATATGCTTTCTATATTTTGTCCAATTATTTTCTACCATGTAGTCCCAGGCTTTATCAATCCATTACAAGTATCCTGAATTTTAAATGCAATTCTCATCTAACTTCTGGTACTGTGTAACTAAAGACACAAACTTGTAGGTAAATAGGTTATCTCCATTTCTATAAGAAATGCAAACAAGGGTCCATACACTAAATTCTAATAGTAAATCTTTGATTTTGTGGGTTTTGAATTTTAATTATATTAGCAAAATAGATTAGGAGAAGGAAAATAAGATAAGGATGTAGGAAAAAGTTTAGAAAGACTATTAAAGAAATTGATGGATTGAATAGAATATTTCATTATAATATCCTAAATGCTAAAGTCAAATCATAATTAAAGGTAATCATGATGGGAAAAGGAAGCATTAGAGGGATGGTTGGGATAATTACTTAATATAAGGAAGGTCTCAAAGAACATAACTTTAAATATTTAGCTAAGGGAATGTAACAAATCAGATAAAGTGATTATA